CCTGTCCACGGGGGCGCGTCCAGCCAAGGGCACCCCCTGCCCTGGTGCGCCACCCCCCCCTCCTGCCGGAGGCTGGTACCTCCTCATAGTACTTGATCTCGTACCTCCAGGATGATGCCGTTGGGCTGCTCGGGCTCCTGCCACAGCAGCGAGACGCTGGTCTGCCCCGGCCCACTCCTGGCGGATCACCACCCACCTGGGACGGGGCTGGGGCGGGAGGCCGGCCTTGGTCAGATGGGTGGATGGGTGATAGCTGGGGCCGGCCTCTGTCCTACCCCTTCCCAGGCCCTGCGTGGGCCATGCTTGCTGGCTGTCCTGCTTCTGCCCCGGAGAGCCCGCCCCCTCCAGTCCTCCTGGCAAATCATAGGCTGCCGCCTGGTCAGTCACCTGGGCTCTGCACAGCTGCTTCTGGCCTGGGATGCTGGGGTGGCTTGACCCAGACAAGGCCTGAGGGCCCCGGCTTTCACTCCTCTTCCTTCTCCTCTCTGGCCAGGCCCTGCCACTGGGAGTGCAGGCCCCCAGCAGCCCCAGCAAGCAGCTGCTCTCGTCCACTCTGGGGGCCCATCACCTGATGTCTCTGCCTCCATGTCTCCCACCCCAGTCGTCTGTGCCACAGCTCTCAGGACTGCCCGAGGGAGGAGGAAGAAGGAAGGGCACGAATGGAGGGAGCCCGCACCCTCTCCGCCGGGCTTGGAGGTCTGACCAGGACGGATCAGTATACTTCGGGAAGGGACATGAGCCGAGCCTGGCCCGTTTGAGCTCAAGTGTTCTCACAGTCACACGAAGACACCCATACACCCTCACTCATTGACCGATTCACCCGTTCCCTCCCCCATCCATTCCCCTCCCTCCTTCCCTCCCTCCCTCCTTCCCTCCTGTGTCCAGTGCAATTATCCTGGAGTCAGATAGAGACCCAGCCACAGCCAAACAGGAAAGTACCTGCAGGGATGCAACCCCCATCTCCCTGTCCCTCCAGCCCGCAGGCCTCCTCTTCCCCCTCTGCTCACCCCTGCGCCTCCTGTGTCCCCCACCTGCCTCATATCTGGGCATCCAGTCTCCTGGGAGGCCTGGGAGGCTCCCGAAGGCAGAGATCGCACACAGTAGCTGCTCAGTAAATGCTGTACTTTGACATGAAGAATTAAGAAGCGACTCCAGAGTTAAGTTGGAGGGTGTGGTACATAGGTGACCCCACCGTCTGGGACTCACAGCCCAGCCCCTCTCTTGCTGGCTGGGTCTCATGGCTGCAGCTTCTCCATCCAGACAGCAGCTAAGCTAGTGAGCTAGTGGGCACCCCTGCCAGGAAGACTGAGGATCAGATGAGACCATTGCAGCAATGCACGCGCGGAGCCAGGAATACGAACACCTCTTAAAGCGGAAGAAATTGCCAAGGCAACAGTGTGAGTGGGGCAGACAGAGGGAGATCAGAACTCCTAGGTGGGAGGGAAGTGGGCGGGGCGCCAGAGAAGGCTTTCAGTAAAGAGGGGGTTGTGGAGAAGAGGTGAGGACAGGACGGG